CAAACCTTATCTGAAAAGTCTTTTATCAGGACGGGACGACAGAACCACGGCTTTCGATATCGGATTAAACTGAGATTGTGATATCTCTAATGTTTGATAAGTTAACAGCTCCAAAAATTCACGTTGCCGTTTAAATGGCGGTCCATAGGTTAGCCGCTTCTATTACATGAGCTTGCTGTTAATATATGTTGTACATGACAGTCAACAGTTCCTCAATTTCGATTGATGTCAAAGTCTCTTTACAAAATTGGACAGAATTAGAATGGTACAACATTCTAACTTTGCCTCTGTGAACATCAGCGTTCTGGTTTCGTCTGTGACAAACCATGGCAGTCTGTTAATTGCGAAGATATGGTGATAGTTCTATGAAACTTTCACAATGTGATGTTACAAGCGTCTGTTATGAGACTTCTAGAAAGATTTCAGATAGAAAACTAGTTGCCGAATGCTCTTTAATCATATGCCGTTCATCAAGCATTCATCAAATCTGTCAAGGGAAAACGAGGAGTGAAAAAAAGTTTGTATTCGTTGATATCTCTCCCTCACAGGTGGATCATAGATGCCATTTGTGTTATTTGTGAGTCTCCGATCTTGATTTTGCTTTTGATTTCAGCAGTCACAAGAAATTAATTTTTATGGAAATTCTGCTCTTTCTTTTTGAATTATCCTTCATGGTTGACACATTTTTTGGAGTTGGGACTTAGACCAAATTTGCTATCCATGTCATTTCGATAAAATAGAGGTCTCCTGTTTTTTTTTTAAATTTCCGTTCACTTCGCCTTGCTTTAGTTAATCGAGAGAACATGGCTTGCTCTTGAACTAAGATACCTTTTTATAATTACACGCAAAATGTTTGGACGGTTTCCATACCAGTGGGCAACTGTACACACGATGTCTCCAAGATCAGTGAATATCTTTGGTTATACGAAAGAAAATAGCAAAGAATTAGATCCCCAATCTGTCATCTAATTCGTCAGCTGTATTTCTGTCTTACGGTCTTTCGGTCTTCCGGTCTTCTTGCTGTCTTAAATGATCGAAGCAATCGCTGTCTGTTCTTAAAAGGGTCTATACGATTATTTTTCACTGAGAATCTTCTCAAAATGCTCTCTGACCCTGTCCAAAAGAGTGTTAATTTTAAAGAATAGGAATTTTAGTTGTAAAGAATAACAGATTAATTTAGCAATACTTTTTGGATCTGTGCAACAGCCTTTCTTAAACACTGATTTGTTGAGAATCTCCTCTTTCTACATCACCAATTAAAAAGATTCACTCACAGATTAATGTCATCACTCAGTCTGATTGAGATTTCTTAACTCTCATTTGTGCTTATATCTGTTCTCGTTGTTTTCCGACAGTTCACGCAGTTCTGCGTTTCTTATTTGGCCTAAGGCTCCGTTAACTTCTACAAGGGAGGGGGTTTAGTAACAGTGTCCACCCTTTTACATGCGTAATACCGTTCATTGAATTTTCTTTTGCAACCAGATGCGAATTATCTAGCAACAGAAAATTTTTCCCACATGTCTGCTACTTCTGTAGATTTGGACGTGGGACCACTGTCTTCCTCAACAATTGTTAAGTTAGTCATTTCTATCAAAGTAGTTATGAAATTTCCTTAACGCGGTCTTCAGACCGTTGTTCTGAACCGCACCTTTTATTATTTCTGCATACCTCTTCCAGAATAGCGGTTTATTTTTCCTTGATAATTTTTAAATGTCTTTCTGTGGTTATTTCCTAAAGTTTTGTTCGTTATCAATCCCGGCAAGCCTGATCGTTTCTTTCAGCCGTTTAGTTCTCAAACTTATCCGCGGTTTCTTGCTTTTCTTCCATCTCGGTGGTTCCTCTGCAGCATCTACCATTTCTTTCTGGTAGAGGTTCCAAACTTTCTCTGCCAATGCATCACCTGCATAATCATTAAATGGCCTGAATCTTTCATCAGCGGCAATGGTATGCTTCAACTATTTCTTGACATTTGAACATTGTGCTCGATTTTTGGCTGGTCATCGATAACTAGAGCTATATTTGAACCTTCGCCATCACCAGTTCACGGTCGTTGCCCCATTCGTGCTTCTGCACACTCTGACATCTTCTCTTTCAGACATGTTCAGTGACGAAAACGTGAGAAGCTTCGTTGACTGTAGAGGTATCAGGTGAGTACCATGCGATCGTACGGTCTGATTTCAGAAGAAACCATGTGCTGTCAGCAAGCAGATCTAGTATTTCACCAAATTCACCCCTGTCGTTCACCCTGGTTATGTCGAGTCATCACGAGAATCTATACAACGCATTTTTTGTTCCCACTTTCCCAATGAGGCACCCAGACCAGTCAAGATATTGTGAATGCAACATATTTTAATGCGGTATAAACTTTAAAACTCAAGGTTAAAATTCCTCCTTTATTGCCATCGTTTAAATTGCGGCTTAACCCCCGAATACCGTAATCCGAATCGTTTGTACTTGGAATCGAATCTCCCAATAATGACGCTGTCAGATATCACGTTCAAGTGTACGGGATCTCTTTCGCGTTTACCGCGGATGCCAACGCAACACCACCTCTGTGAGCAATAAAGATTGTAGTTTCTTGCTGTTTCTTGTTCTTTGTGCTTCTTCTTGTGCAGCTACTTGATTTTCATCCTACACAGTTCTTCTGCAAGTAATGGTCTGCCCAGGTGTGTTTAACTTTTGTACTTTCGGTGTGGCAAGCTGCTTTCGATGCTGTTAACCTAAAAATGAGTTTCCCCCATTTTGCAGGTTTTAAGATCTGTACTCACATACAGTGAGTTTTCCATGCTTGTTAGGAATAAAATCCGGTACGATTTCCCTAATCAGAAACAAATAGGCTCAGTCGAGAAATTAGCCGGAAACAGCCTCATTTGTCCTCACTTGCTGTTAATTTCAGGTTTATGATTAAGACGTTAGGTCTGACTTTTAGAACAAATTGATGGACTCATTGGAAGCAAATTTCTGTTTTTTCCGTCATTAATGAAGCACTCCTCATTTTCAAACTTTTGACTCTTTTCCATATCTTTTTTTTTGACTTTCGTGGATTATGCATGTATCTACAATGCGAGCGCATTTACTCTAACCTGGCGGTAGGTAAACTTGACTGCTCAATCGGGACGGGGTGGAGGAACAGTGATGTAAATCGAAAAGCATTTTTTCGAATTCTTGTTGGGTCACACGATTTAATGATTTAAAGTAAATTAATGAAATTAATAAACTAAGATGATATTGTGTAAAAGTCGCGAAAAAGATGATCAATTTTATGTTGATTTCATAGGTCAGACATGTTGATTGAGATCAGCGTGTCGTAGGCTTCACAGAAGCATGATACCAAAAACACTGTACGGTTCAACTTTCCCCTTTCGTAAAACTGACGCATATCGCTTAGTTGGCGTATCTTAATATTCATATGCAAATCTAATGTTTCCGGCAATAATGTAGCCGCAGGCATTGTAAATCAGTGTTTACTGAGTTTTGCAACACCGATCTCTCTTGTAGCTGCTCCTGTACGAGTGTGCCGTATTTCTTGAACGAAACAGCCGTACGCGGATCAGTTGTAGCCTGTAACGAACCAGCCACGGTCGACTCCTGAAAGTAGGTGAATAAATAATGCTCAGGTAGATTTGCAAATCGTCCTCTCTGGCCTCAGTGACAAGGAGTACTGTACTAGATTCGGTTAAACACTATTTATTATCGCAATTAAGTAGCCGATCATTGGAGAATCTGCAAGAAGACGATTCTTCCGTTTGTCGCACAGAGTTTATCATTCCTTGAAAGCATGTTTTTGGCATTGCGTGGTTTATAAGTCTTCATTGGACATCCGTGTGAAAGAGGTTCCGCTGTTTGAACAGGATCATCTGCGTTGTGCCGGTTAAAACTGTGGCTGAGCTGATTTCGAGACGTTGCATGAGCAAACGAGTCTTGCGCAAAACGGGTGATGTCGAACAACGACAGAGCCGTCTCGAGAAGAGGGCATTACCAACAGCGGATATGAATAAAATCTCTATGGCGCACACAAAAACGCTTACATTCGACGTGACTACAACATATCTGATTTTATAACGCCATGTTAATAGACTGCGTTCAGCGCACGACCGCGAACGGTTGCTCAAGTGCTGAATTTTCAGTTTTATATCCGGCTTTCACCTGCTGACAGTACCTCGTTTGAAATTGCACCAGATGCCATTCATATCGCAGATCTCTTAGAGGTCTTTCGAAATGAAATTTTTTTTCAACTTCACTAAGGCAAATATCAAGGAAATTGAACTTCTTGGACTGCTTTTAAGGCTCGCTTTATTCAGTCTAGTGGCTGGTCCGAGGTTTTGACTGTAGTTATGTCAAACGGAGCTCTCCTGATCAAACGAACACGTTGTTTTTCCGCTTTGAACGATGTCGAGAAGCATGTTTTCGAAACGTTTGATCCTTTCATCTTTCATCTAATTGAAATTTCTTCCTGTTGTGGGACAGACGACATAATGCTTCATCGAACTCTTTGTAGTCTTAAGCAACGACCTTAGCCACCGATCATTCTGTATGAACTCATAAAAACAGCAACTAAGCAGCGCTAAGCTGGATTATCTTGGGAATGCAGAGATTTTTCACTCACTATTAATCACTGTTGCGTTATATGAGATTCGCAGCTATGAGTGATGTTTGCTATTCTTCTCCTTGGCGGACATACCGAGGCTCATAGATATATATATATAACTGTCACAATGAATAACTCCGGAACAAATCACATATTCATTCTGTTTCATGTACTAGACTATTCTAACACTGACCATTCCGGGGACTACTTAGTGAGACAGAAATATTTTGCCAACCAGAGATTCGTCACCTCAGCGGTTATGTGGATTTTCATGTTCAGGAAGTATGAAAATCGTATAGTAGTTATAAATGCCATCTTTATTCTTCGTCAGCCTTTTACGAGAACTTTATTGCCTACGCATAAAACGCCAGGTGTAAGCTTAACAGTGGACGGTTCTCGTTGTAGCTGAATCATGCGAGACACACAGTCGACACTTGAATGCGTGGTGGTCGCCTGGTCTTGTTCATTTTTGAAACGTTCCACTTGGCGTCGCCGGACAGGGTCTGCTAAGAGTGCTCGATCACACAGCACCGACCGAGCCGAACTGCTGAGTCTCGGACACGTGTCGCTAGGGAGAGACTCCGGTTGGCGTTTCGGATATCCCGTCCGTTTTATCCGACGTCAGGTGGCAGTTGTGGCGGTGATGCGGCAGTGGCATGCGGCAGTGGCAAGCGGCACGCGCTGCAACGTCGTTTCATTCGTTCACTTGTTGCCGGTTCGTGGCGCTCAGCGTTTGTGTTGTGCTACGATGCTGTTGCTTATGTGATTTATGGCGGCGTTCATTTCAGCAGTTGCTGTTGAGATGATTTCCGTGGCTTTGCGGCTACCTCGTTCCTGCTAGTCGGCTTTTCATCGTCGTCTCCGTGCCCTCGAACTCGGAACTCGGAACTCGAACTCGAGAACTCGAACTCGCCTCGTCGCAGGCTTGGCTCTCGCCGACGAGCGTTTCGCGATTTCCACAGCGTCGCTTCTTCCACTGATCTGCTGCTCACAGCATTGCACGGTGTTTTACACGTCTGCTAGGTTTTTGACTTCATCGTCGGCCAGTTGCTATATGCAACGTTTTCCTCGGCGACGATGCCTCTGACTGAGGTAGTACTGAAATCAGTCGAGCTGCAGGGAGGTGTCCTCGCCGCCAAGCCTGTTCAACAACCGCTTATCTATTTTTTGGCGATTGCCGACTGAAACTGTCATCATGTTTCGTCGGCTGATTCGTTCGACCACACAGTGAACATCTACTCCCTGCCCCACCCCCCCCCTCAAGTGTGTCTGCTTTCCCAGTAGCTGGAACGAACGACGACGCGTGCAAGGTTCGAGGAGCACAGCCCGTAACTGCACCTCTTATACATCTCATTAATTTGACCTTTTTCTTCCTCACTGTGTTGGCTGCGATGAGCAAGACGCTTTGCCTCCTTTGCTATCCGCTACCAGCGTTGCGTACCTGCCACTTGCAGGGCCCAACTGTCCCCTCAGATTTGCTGATTTTGAGGTAAACATGACGTCAGAGATTTCAGTTTCTTGGCGCCATGTATTTGCTTGTGGAATTTTTTTTTTGTTTTCCTCTCGAGTGATAAAGCCGATAATCAGTGCTAAACAGCTTTAATCTGTGTTTTCGTTTTCGTCTTTACATCGAGTAGCTTTCTTGAACGTGGTCGTTTGTTTTGCAGCTGATCTTCGCTGGCGAATACACCAAAGCAATGAGTAAAGAGTGGCACAGCGGCCACTTCTGCTGCTGGCAGTGCGACCAGTCGCTGACTGGCCAGCGCTACATTTTGCGAGACGACCATCCGTACTGCATAAAGTGCTACGAGGAGCTGTTTGCGAACACCTGCGACGAATGCGGCAAAGCGATAGGCATCGATTCGAAGGTAAGCACGTCTCTTACTTCACTAGCTTCACCCAGTGCTTTTCTGGCCAGCGGCTTTTGTAATTTCCGTTACACACATTATTTCACTTGAACGGCACTTCTGCTTCTACTTTCTCACTCCTTTCATCAATAACAAGCAAAATAAGTGACCAAATACCTATATCATTGACGAGTCTATTTCATACAGCGAAATGTTTACCTCATTCATTAAGCAACGACGACATCAGCCGTATTCAGGGCGAGGCAACGGCGGTGGACGACGAGGCTTTTTTTCGTGCACACTTGAAGCTCTGTGATAAGCCTTCAAAGCACCTTTCGATGTCGCTGCTGGTCATGATGTTTTAGACCTACAGTATTATTGGCTAGAGCCATGCCTTGCAGCTTTTCTCATATAATTTCGCGAAGCGTCAAAGATGTCATTGCTCAGTGACCAGCTTAAATGCCGGGTCTTAATCGTTGAGTAGAAAGATTTGTGCGCTTATACATTAAGATTATTAATGGAGGTGCTTCGAAATATAATTTATGAAAATTAATTGGAAAGTCACTACGTGTTGGTGTCTAGTAGAAAATGCTATACAAAACATGCCGCGCATGGTTCGTCTACATGTGTGCTTGTTCACTGAATAAATTCACACTGGCAACGAACATTTCACTCTGCTCACAAATCTGTTTGTCGCTACAGTCCCCTTTTGCGAATTGGCACTGTTCTGGATGTAATTGTAATTCATACTGAACCTCATATCTGTTTTGGTCTTAACATGCCGTGCCTTATCGTTATCATTTAATCGATACTTGAACGACAAGCGTACGAGCGAAGTTCTTCC